TTAATAGTCTTTCGGGCAGTTAAAAAGGCTGGACGAAAGCCGAAGGCGAGGGGCGGGGAAAGCACAAAGGCCCCATGCAACCTCGGTATCGGCGACCAGCCCCAACTTCAAAGCTAAGTTGGGTCAATGTGACTTCGGTAGGTTCTAGATAAACTCATTTTTTCTCTCAGAAAAGTTCTTTGAATTTGGGGCCTCCAGAGTTTCAAGGGTGCCGCTGTTCACCTAATGGAAAATGTTTCTGGACCTGACTTGCTGAAGCCCGGGTAACCAAAGCTCTTCTATTGGAGCGCATAGATGTCGCTTGCGAGCTCCGAACTTTCCTGCTGGCGACACCTTGAAGATGTCTAGAAGGTGCAAGCACAGAAGAGACTCAATCATTCGTTGACTGTCTTAGCGGAGCAAACTTTGAGCGCCCACCGTTCCAAAAATTATAGGCCCTAACATTATGCAAAGTCAATGCGTCCACCTACGCTTTAGGAGGCCCCCGTTACTTTTAGTGCATCGCGAACCTGTCCCTCCCAACTCAATGGGCGCAATGCCATGTGACTCAAATAATGTAAAGAGAGGGTATTTTGACGTAAAGAGGGCAGGGACAGACCACATCTGTTAGCGCATCCAGCATACCTCAGGAGTGAACATGTGCCACTCACTGCGTACGAGCCAAAACGAACCTTAAGTGGCCGAGTGACCTTGGATCCCGGTCATTCGGAGGAGGTCTGCCGTCCGAAACCCAGTACAAACGGCGGCAAAAGGTCCGCGTCGAGGTATGGATAAAACAGACCAACAACCGGTAATTTTGAACCAGTTGTCCGCGTCTGCGTTTTATAAAACAAAACCAGGTCCTCTGTGCACCGACATGCGCGTGGGAAGGGGACAGCACTATGTTAATTCCCGTGACCCATCTTATGTTTAGACTTTTTGGTGAACGACAGTTGAAGTTGTTAGTACGTTCTGGCGGATTACATATACTGCAAAACTACACTACAAGAGCTCAAAGAGATACGCAAAAAGAAAGGCTCTTGCGGAGAATCCCCACACACACAGAGATACCCACTGTTTTATACGGACATGGCATGTTGATGAATAAGCCATGGAAAACAGGGGACAAATGGTTACACAGTCCAAGTGACGTGGTGACCATTCCCACTATGTTAAAGGGAAGTTTGACGACGGATAGGAGTTTCCCCACACTACCGACACGGGCACTACCTAAGGACCTAGACACCTGTCTGACCAATCTTTTTGCACTTGTATGGCTTCTGAACTAGTATTAACTGGTAGACAGCATTTTATAATTTTCACCAAAATCCTCAGACATACATGGAGTCAAGTCTTCGGGGCAGTATTTGCCGGGCGCAATTTCGATTTTTCGAGTATAACCTTGCTTTGAATACCATTATTAACTGGCCATGGAAATAAGTGGCCGTGCGCTAAATTCCAGCAGGTACTTTTTCCCACGTCCTAACTCTAACTCTAACCCTAGTCCCACTAACCCGTCCTGGAATTTAGTTCAAGGCCATCTGAATTACGGGGGATACCCATTCCAGCGTAATAGCCATAACTTCAAATTAATCATTGGATAACACCATAACACAGGAGATATTAACCGTGAAAGGCGCATTTGTGTTTTCACACTCTAGGTAGTGAATACGGCTGTCCAGCCCCAGAGTCTGGTGAATCGAGTGCACAGCACTCGTAATTTGACGTGCGGGTTGTGGGTGCACTGTGTCTGGCGCGCAGATCACAGGTGTCAATTGTAGGTGGTAAACGGACCCCCATTTTTTCGTGGCCTTTGTCGCCTCCGTTTTCTCTGCTCGTGGCGATAACTGGCGACTTTAGCAGTCTCAGGCCTCTACCGTCCTTTAAAGTTATTTGCAAGGCCAGATTGGGCCTCGGCGAGTTTATGTGACGGTTGACTAAGCAAGTGGTTAACACCAAGCGCCCTGCATCTAACTTACTGCGCGAGAGTCAACTCGGCCCACAACCCCAATGACCCAAAGTTGAAAATAGATCCCGTCTGTGCGTCATGGGTTAGTCCGTGAAGGTGATCACCAAATTAGCGATATTATTGATACTTGTACTGACTACCGTGCCAGAAAGGAATGGAGAATGCATGCAACAGATGTCGAAAACTCTGCTGTTCCACTTGGGCAGCGTAATTCTAACTACCGCCTGAGCGTTATTGACATGAAGTAAATACGATCAAATTTCCCATCCGAGCTGATAAACAGCCCGTAAGTTTTTGCAGCTGATTTTCCATTATTATGTGTTTATGCCCGCTCTCGTGATAGACGCCTCATCGGTTTACCATTGTTTACCTTGCATTGGCTAGTGCACAAAGTATAGCCATTCCCTACAATATTCATTCCAAATCATCAGGTTTGCACTAACACCCTTACACTTGTTCGGCTTGCAACATTACTGACCTCTTCAGTGTCCTCAATAATGGCCTTTTCGAGGGTGCAACTGTATATGGCTAATAATTTCGGACATTATTAAGGAAAGGGCATATAGTTAAGCGCCACGGATATAGCTTCTTAGGACGAAGCCCGGAGTTTCAATGAACATTTGATTTGAAGAAAGTCCACTTTTGTGGAATAACAGCGTAATGTTCATTTGAAAAACAATTCGAGTAACTACATACACATGCGTATATCGTGTTTATCTTACCGCGAAGACGGCAGAGAAGAAAAGACGATCTCACGGACCAGGTTTTGTTCATACTGGCGTTTCGAAAACTCTCATTCCCATTATCAGCTGGCTTTTCCTGTTGACCTTGATTTGTTCAGTCTTGTCGCCTGACTAGTGCTATAACCGTGCTCGACGTACCTACGCTGGCCGGCCCGTTGCCCAATTCTGGACTCTCAGATTTCAGCCATTGGCGACCATTGGGTGGCCTGCGTCCCCTTCGCGGCCGTCGTTTCTGCCACGCCAGCGTGCTCGGCGGCCTCGCCGGTACGCTGGTGAGACAGTGCGACGCTGGTCACGTGACGTCCGGTCGACGTCTTTTTCCCCTCTAGCCTTGGCTGTCGGCCCCGCGCGACTTTTTTCACTCCTCCTATTGACCCTGTCTGAATTGACTCAAGCCCCGTGCCTGGTAGGCGGGATGTAGGTCTATGGGTCGGTTAAGTGCATCGTTCGAGGACCAACTTTCCAGCATCGCTCTGACCATCTTATCATTGACTCGGCCGACCACCCTTGCTTTCTCAAAGGCGAACCTGTGGCTCTGCGGCTGCATGTGGCCATAGACCAGCAACAATTTATCTTTGTGGTTAATTACAAGCTGGTGTTCGTGCAGTCTTGTGTCGAGGTGTTCGCCCATTCCAGCGCCATGCCTTGCATCACAACCTTGGTATGGTAGGCTGTGGACCACCAATGACTGTTCTGTCACTGGTAGCGGGTCTTCGAGTTTCATGATCTGCTGTCCAGCTCTTGATGTCGGTTTACAAGCCACAGCAATCCCGAAAGGTTTCAGGATTCTTGACGTCGTTTCTGAACCTTTCTCCACATAAGGGATCAAGAGCCAGAACTTTGGCTTCTCCTCTCCCGACCGCCCACAGCGGGGTCTACCGAACCACTTGCGTACGAGGGGCTTTGAATAACCGTTGGCTTCAAATAGGGCACGTAAGTCCTTCATCTCCTCCTTCCTCCTCTCTTCCTCCTGACAGTGGTTTATACCGTACTTCCAACAAAGACAACAGCTAAGAGTTAAGACGTCTTTGTCCGAAGTTCTCACTGCTGCACGACGTAACTGCGTACGCGGTATCGTGGGTGAGGGTCATATCGTATTTTTACAGTCACAACTGTTTCATCAGTACGTTTGGATCAACATTCCATAACCTTAAACTGGTGAGCATACCCTGCCTCACACGACAGTTCGTCCGTCGTGCCCGAAGATGTCCACCGTGTGCTCCACAGCAAGGTGAAGCAGGCACGGTGACTTGCGCGCGAACTAGTTTGCAGTGAATGTAGACTTGTGCGGCATCTAGTACACTCTCTGTTGCCCACTCCCCGCCTGGACCCGGTGTCCAGACAGAGTCATGAGGACCGAAGGTGAGGGAGGGCGCCGGTGGCTGGTGCGGCCGGACCCGTTCCTACGTGCACACCACACTTCCTGGTCCAAAACAAGCACTTGACCAGGATTTTAACCAACAACAGCAACACCACAACGGGGAAGAAGGACGAGGATGACTGACAGCCATGCTTACCATCTGCATACCCAGCAGGAGCGCAAGCGCATCTACCGTCAGAGAACAAGGTGTGGGTGACCTGCCAGCGCACTCCAGACTGCGAGTGCCATGGTTTGCTGATACTGACATAGCGCACGCTTTCAGGCCTTTTGACCTAGAAGGGTGAAACGTGGTCCTACATTAAGCCTGAGCCGTCATCCTTCAAGGCTAGGTAACCAAACAGTCGTCGACCGAGAGGCACTACCCATAACGCGCACACACTCTCCTCACATGTGTGAGACCGCTACAGATTACTCAAGAAGGAGCCGCGACAGCCTGGGTCTCGGCCTATCAGTCAGCCACTCCACACAAACGCACACAACTGGGCAGACTGCGTAAACCGATTTGAGGCGTCCGTCAGCAGCCCAACAAGCCAAGGCGCTCAGCGTATCGTGATAATTTCAGACCCGGGTCACACACGCAGCAGAGGTGGCGTATGAAAAGGAGCCGAGAAGCACACGTCCCACTTGCGCAGGAGGTCGTAATTGGGTATCTGTGATGGGTGATAGGATTGTGAGATGTGAGTGCTGGTGGTGGAAGGTGTGACGGTGTGGCGTAACTGGCGATTGGCTACCGCAGGTTCTCGTAAATGCGAATGCGGCCTAATAGGCCCACGCGGTGGCTGAATGTGCGAGTGCAATGTGGACAGTGGAGGTGGATGCGGAGAGTGTAGGTTGGTGCTCCAGGTGCTCGCTCGCCAGTCTCCGTGCGATGGATTCACAAGTGATCGAGCAGGTGCGGTCGCAGTGAAAACAGGCATATACCAGGTCCTCACCACTGGCGTCGACGGTGGTGTTGGAGATTGTTGGTGTGACAGGATTGTGTGGCAGACGCCACTACGGCAGACGTTGAGGCAGAGGTGATGGAGGTGGTGGTGGTGGTGGCGGCGGCGGCGGCGGCGGCGGCGGCGGTGGTGGTGATGGTGGTGGTGGTGGTGGTGGTGATGGTGGTGGTGGTGGTGTAGGAGAAGGAGGAGGAGGAGGAGGAGGAGGAGGATGAGGAGGAAGAAGGCGGTTGTGGTGGTTCGGGAGGACAGTTAGAGTTTGTTGACAGCGCTGGAGGCGAGGAAGAGGTAGGCGTAGAGACGACGGTTGGTGCAGTCCAAATGTTGCAGTTGGGCCAAAGGTGTCCAACAAGTCCGATTGGCGTCCGGAATGTCCGATGACATTGGAGACACGTTGGGGGTGGTTGGGAGTTGGCATTGCGAGGTGGGTGCCACTGGGATTTGCGGGCTTCGCGCCTGGCTTTCGCAGCGGCGATGCGGTTTGCCTCGTAGATCGCTCCTGTCTTCACTGTCCTCTTTCAGGTCGATAGGTCTCGAGCGAGGTTTTCCCAGTTGGCCGGGTTGATCGACAGACGCTTCAGGGAGAATTTCAGAGAGTCCTTGTATTGACGGATTTGGCCTCCTTGGCAGCGGGAACCCCTGGCGACATCTTTATAGAAAAGTCGTTCGGGTAACTGCTCGTCGTTCGTCCGCACGAGGTGACCGCTACAACGCAGTTGCAGTTGTCTCAGCATGGCGTTGATGTTCAGGATTCCCGTCCGTGCCCCCTCAGCTTCAGTATCCGTCGAAGGTAGCTGAGGTGGAAGTGGTTGAGTCTCTGCGCCTGCTTCTTGTAGACCGTTCAGGTCTCCACTCCATACATCAGCGTCGGCAGGATAACTGCGTTGTACGTCTTCAGCGTCGTGTGGAGATGGAGACCGTGACGGTCCCAGACGGCGTTCTGCAGACGGCCGAAGATTTGGCTTGGCTTGGGAAATGCGGCGAGCCACTTCATTGTCGATCGTGGTGTTGCGGGAGAGAGTGCTGCCTAGATAGGTAAAGTTGTCCACGGCTTGCTGTTTAGCGCCGTTCATGCTGATTTAGCGTGCAGTGTAGTCAACGTTGGGTGGCGGTTGGTGTATACTTCATGTTCATAATCAGGCCGAAGTTGTCTCAGGCGGCGTCGAAGAGATCCATGCTCCTTGGCATGTTCCCTTCCGAGGTGGTGTTGAGGACGCAGTCGTCGGCGAATGGTTGTTGGTACACGCGACTGGAAGTGCATCCACCGCTGGTTGAGGAGGTAGCCATCCGACCTATATGTGATGCGGATCCCGGGGCCTTCGTCACGGTAGGCGTCCATTAGCATGACAGAGGACATAAGACTGAAGAGGGTAGGCGCGATGACGCAGGCCTACTTCCTTCTGTTGGTCACTACGAATGCTTCTGAGATAGCTCTGATGCGAGTCATCATGCCATCGTGAAGCTGAGGCACCATCTGAGTGAATCGTTCGAGGCTGTGGGATTTCTGAATAATTCTTCACAGTCCTTCGTGTTTCAGCGTATCGAAGGCTTTCATCAGATTCAAGAAGGTAAAGTAGAAGTGGGCCCGCATCTCCTGATATTCCTCCTGCAATTGGCGGGCGGTGAAGATCATGTCCGTGGTCTCACGATGGCGGTGGAAGCCGCACTGGCTTTCCGGCAGGAGGCCTTGTTTTAGGTGGTTGTTCAAACGATTTAGATGAATGCGAGCGAAGATTTTCCAGGCACTTTTCAGAAGAGAGATGCGTCGGTAGTTGCCACAGAGCTGGCGGTTTCCTTTCCGATTATAGGGATGGACGATTGGGACGTCCTTGAAGTCCTGCGGGACTTCTCCTTGACGTCGAATTTCCTGAAATAGTGCCATCAAATGATTCATGAGTTGGGGGGCACTGTGCCTGTAGATCTCCACAGGGATCGTGCCCGATCAGGGCGCTTTCCTGCTGAAGAGCTGCTGCACGACCCCAATGGTTTCGTGAAGAGAATGCGGGAAGTCGAGGTCGGCATTTGTTTCCACTTGCGGGAGACAGACGATGGCGGCGTCAGAGATTGAGGACGCCTCGAAAGTGCTCGGCCCATCGCTGTAGAATTTGTGTCTTCTCAGTAAGTAGGGTGGTTCCGTCCGCGCTGAGGAGAGGTGCAGTACCTTTGGTTGGCGGACCGTAGACGGCTTTTATTGCGGAGAAGAAATTCTTCCATTCGTTTCTGTCCGCGTACCTTTGGGTCTCCTCGGCCATGCGAACCGCCCAGGCGTCCTGCCTCTCCCGCAGCCGCTGTTACACAAGGCGGTGACTACAGTAGAAGGCTGTCTTGTTGACGTCGGTGGGGCGGCCAGCATAGGCTTTGTGCAGTCGGTTCTTCTCGGCGAGTAAGTTACCGATGGCAACGTAAGCGTCGTCGAACCAGTCGTGATGTTGGCTGCGTGCGCGGCCGAGAACAGCCAGCGCGTTTGACTGGACTGTGTCCTTCAGTTGACACCATCGGTTCTCCACGGATGCGTTCTCGTCGGCGGCCGCAGCGGAGGCGTCTGGAAGATTGGTCAGCCTTTGAGCTAGTTTATTGCTGAAAGGGAGATGGAGAGCTGGTAAAGACAAAAATGTAACATTCAACTTACCTGAAGGTTGCTTACCTTGAGGTCTCCGGCGAGGCTGTAGGCGAATCCTCATCTTGAAGATGACGAGGCGATGGCCGGTCCACCCGTCGGCACCCGGGATCACCTTTGTCATGAGCACGTCTCGCTGGTGTCGCCTCCGGACGAGGACATAGTCCAGCAAGTGCCAGTGTCGCGACTGAGGGTGCATCCAGGTCGCCGTCTCCCGAGTCGGTATGCGGTAGAAGGTACTGGTCAGACGGAGGCGATGTTTTGACCAGATTCACAGGCGAAAGCGGTCATTGTGGTTGCAAACGGTGACTCCATAAGTACCCAGCACTCCTCTCCGGACAGCATGGTCTGTGTCGAGGCCGGCGTTGAAGTCACCAGGGACAATCAACTTAGCAACCTTCTACACAGTCGCCACGACAGCGTGCAGGTCATCGTATAATTTGTTCCTTGCCACGTCAGAGCTGGTCATCGAGAAGGGGGACCGTAGACGCTGACGGTGTTGGCGAACTTGCCTCCCCGGAGAGGCAGGTGGCGACTCATCAGATGATCATTGATGCCCTGCCGCAGACAGGGCAGTCCTACCGCGGTGTCATTCCGGATGGCAAAGGCGTCGCCCGCGTCCCGTCACTCTGCCTTAGGGTGACCGATCCAGAATAAGATGTAGCCGGCACCCACCTCCTCCAGTTGGCCTTGTTTGGAGAAGCAGGTCTCATTGAGTGCAGCGATGTCCGCCTTGTATCGCGCCAATTCTCGAGCCACTAGCGGCGACCTCTATTCCGGCCGGTCGCTACTCAGATTGTCTAGAAGGGGACGAACATTCCAGGCTGACAGAGTGAGCGGACTCACTCTACTGGCCCGTGGGTGGGGCGGCGGGGGGAGGGGGAAGAGAAAGGGTATGGTTTCGTGTTTGGCTGTTTTGACTGTGTGTTTTGTATCTACGAGCCACAATTCGCGCGCAGGAGACGTGATCCCAACATTTGTTTAGGGCGCCTTCTGTAGCCCTTCCCCCTCGCGGGGGTGGGCGGTGCTCTCTCTAAACAGGGCTGCTTTGTCCCATCAGACGGATACCGTTTTCCACTGTGGGTCACGGGCTTTAGTGAGATAACGACCAATGGCCTGGCCGCCTACTTGATTGGATGTCGCCCTTGCGGCAGAACTTCCGACCGTGGGGTAAGACAGCAGAATAGAGTAGAGGGAGTGAAGGGCAGAGGAGACGTGCGGAGAAATGGTACGAAAGTGTAAGAAGAGGCAGAATTATCATGTGCGGAGATGCGCACTCGGACACCCCCACCTGGTTTAGCTCGCCTGTCGAGGCTGTTACCCGGGCGCGGCTGCTAGACAGAGCCTAGCTTTGCAGAGCCACATGTGAGAGTTGGGTGCCAGTCAATGGACGCCAGGCAAGTGAGAGGCCTACAACGACCATCATGTGAACCCATAACTGGACAGCCCTGCACCCCACCCTGCCGCATACAACGTTGGCAATTACCATGTACGTAGACGTAGCATAGACGACGCCGTCTGGGCCCGTTAGTGCAGACACGACCATGGTGGTAAGCAATACCTATAGACAGTACACTGATAGTCCCCGACCAACGCATCGACAGACCTTCTGCTTCCTCCCGTACTGTCACCAGGCTCCCACCCGTGACGTGCTCAGGACGGCCGCCACACCTCCGTAACCGTCCTTAACAGTTAGCCAAAACCAGACGAGGGCGTCCGGCATGTGTGTGTGTCTTTACATCCGGTAGTTTCCTAGCTAATCTCCAAACCACTCTTGCCCACTCCCAAACAAAAAGACCTATGAATAGGAGGACATTCAATCCCATAGGCGGCCCCGACTGATTTCGGTCGAACTATCATTAAACTAAAGCCATAACACCTAGTAGAATTTGGCAACCGCCTGGAATGACTAGGTATTCCTATTTAGAGGTATCACTTCTACTCTCCTTGCCAGTAAGGGGCTAGAAAAGGTGTCCTGGGAATCTGCTTGTAGAACACCTCGCGGCAAGCTGGCCGTCGCCTGTGAGCAAAAAAATGCGGTCGAAAAATCGCAACAAACAACTGTTTCGCGTGTCTCCCCACTGCCCTCCAGAATGACAATGGTCACTATGGCAGTCTCGAATGCTCGTTTTCTTTTAGACAACCTGATTTGAAGGACAGTTCTGGCCCTTCACGAAATGGCCCCCATACAAGATGAGCATTGTGACTCTCACCGAGACTCGATTCTCCGAACAGGGCCAACCGGAGGAGATAGGTGTCGGATGCACCTTCTTCTGGAGTAGGCCTCCCACGGTAGAGGGACGTGCGGCTGGCATCGTCTTCGCCATCCCGAACGGCATCGTGCGACGGCTGCTATGTCTACAGCAGAGTATAAATGACCGACTCATAACTCTGCAGCTGTCTCTTCAGGGAAGTAAATCCGCCACCATCGCCACCGCCTACGATCCCTCCTCCCCAATGAACAGCCCCGACCAGGTGAAGAAGAAATCTTACGAAGATCTGAAGTTACTCCTATCGACTTTACCGAGGACGTACAAATTGCTTGTGCTTGGGGACCTCAGTGCTCGTGTCGGCACAGACCATACTTTCTGGGAGGTAGTACTCCGTTATCACGAGATTGGCTGCTTCCTCCTGCAGGCCTGCGCGAAGCAGGATCTTCTCCTGACCAACATCTTCCGTCTTCCAATGTGCGAGAAGACGACGGCGATGCACTCCCGCTCGCGTCAATAATATTTACTGTGCTACCTCCTAGTTCGGTGGCGTGACCAGCGTGACCTGCTCATGAATAAGGGGATGTGTGGTGCTGTCAGCTGACCGTCTTCTCATCTCCATGATGGAGCTCCCGCTGCAATCGCGCGGGCGATTTCAAGGTAGATTGATGTAAGATAAGTTAAATACTGCATTACATCATACGAATAAACGTTGATTTAACTTAAACAACTGCATGAACTCCAACTTGGGACAAATGTAAACCATGGAGGCGCATAAAAGCGTTGAGGTTCAGTGAAAACGAGCTGCTGAAAGCCATGAGGGTCACTGCGGCGGATGCTTTCGGCCGCGCACGCCGGCAGCATCAGAACTGGTTCGATGACAATCACGAAAGAATCCGCGTTCTGTTCTGTGTGAAACACAGTCTACACACGACTACATCATCGACTGCAGCAATACAAATAAAGTCGTGTACTTTTAAAGCCGACGCCCAGTGTGTCGGAAGCTTGGGATGTTGAACGACTATCCGAAATAAAAGTTAAGAAAGTCCGAAGACATGCCGATCGTGGTGAGATGGAGGAATTCTTCGTTGCCAGCCAAGCAGTCTGCGGGCCACAAGCCAAGGGAACTACGCCACTAGTTATCCTGCATGGGGCAGCCCTCCTGATGCAGAAGTCACAGATTCTGGGGCGCCAACCTCCAGGCATCCCTAACCACCTGTTGACAATATGCGAGAACTCCACCAAACGACTTTATAAAATGCACACCAACAACGACCTTGATATCTCGTCTTCCCCTCCTGAGACGGTCCGAGCAGTACAGCATCTGTCCAGTGGAAAAGCGCAAAGGGCAATCGCAATTAAAAGCGCAGTCCTCAAATGCGGTGGCCCATAAATAATGAAAAAGCTTACCTCTCTATTACAGGAGACATTACAACAAGTACACATCACCCATGACTTCAAGGATGCCGCCAGCGTGCAAATTCATAAACATAAGGTGAAGTGACAACTCCGTGATAATAACGGTGGCGTATCGTTTTTCAGCATCATAGGAAACACAGCGCCCGTGCTCTGCTCAATCGCCTGCATGCAAATCTGGATCAGAGACCTCTTTGAGAATCACAGTGCGATTCAGAAAACACTGCGGACTCGCAGACATCACCTCTGAGACCTGCCAGCTTTGGGAAAAGTGCCAAGAGGTAAAGATCAACTTTTTCACCTCATTCGTCAATTTGACGAAGGGCTTTGAAACAGTAAACTGCAATGGACTCAGGAAAATCATGTTGAAGTTCGGATGCCCTGAGCGATTTAGGGAAATAGCAAGATAACTTCATTACGGGGTGGTAACTCGTGTCACTGGCAACGGGATAATCTTTGGAGCATGGGCCATGACCAGTGGAAGGGAGCAAGGCTGTTTGCTCATACTAATGTTCTCCCTTTTGCTAATGGACGCTGTCTTTGAGGAGCGGTCGGTGATCGATGTCAACTACCGAATCGATGAAGGACTGTTAAACATCGGTCGCCTGCAAGCGTATTCAGGGGCATGCAAGGACAGCGTTCATGACACATTGTGTGTAAATTACTGCATTCTAAACACCGTGAGGGGAGAGGACACGCAGCGGAGTGTGAACCTCTTCGCTTTCGGCTGCTTCAACTTCGGCCTGGCCATCAGCACGTAGAAGACCATGGTAATGCGCCGACCGGCGCCAAATACTGAGTACACCGAATTTTGTATCATTTCATTAGAATTCCTTCTGCGGCAGTGGACAGTTTTGCGTAACTTAGGGGCACAACTTCCAGAAACATCACGGCCGAGGACAAGATGGCAAGTCGGATTGCCGAGGCCAGCAACGTCTTGGGAACGGTTATGACATCCCACTCGACGCAAAACCCAGGATATATATAGCTGTTGTCCTGGCAGCACTCTTGTACTGCTCGAAGACTTGGACTGTTTGTGAGGGCCACACCAGAAGGCCTGAGCATTCTCACCGCAACTGCCTTCGAAGGATACCGATGGCGAAGGGGCAGGGAAGGATCTCAAACATTGGAATCTTAGAAGTGACCGGCGTTCTCAGGATCGAACCCTGCCATCGTGTCCAAACTGTTAGCGGACGTCCCAGACATGAATTTGCTTTGTTCAGCATCCGCGGACCCGGCGCAATGTCAACGCAACCAACTCGCCCCTCATTCCACAAAACACCGCGACTAGTAATATCAGAGAGGACACCCCTACAAAACACTACCGCCGCTGCCCTCACCGCCAGCTGCTGTAATGTCGCCGTTGTAATCGGATTTTTTTGTCGCGTGAAGGCTTGGCCGTTCGCTTGGGAACTCATTACACAGAACTGACGAACCAGCGCCTGTATCCTCAACCTACACTCGTCATACGTGCCTCAACCGTTTACGATGTCTCGGGATATTGAGACGCCGTATAGGTCTATTTGGCTATGCGGATATCCATGTCAGTGTAATTCATTGCAATGTCATTACGACAAGCCTAACCTATGCACATCAAAACTCCTCTACCGCCAGCACTACCAGGTTCCCCACCAACGCCGTCACAAATAATAACGTCGCAACACTGCCAGCTCACCTGCTATAATTTCATTTTTCCTTACAGTCACCGCAAATTTGTACAACGCATCGGCATGATTGGGCACTTGCGATTCCATCGCGCTGAGACTGATGTCAGGAGCCCCCATACCCACCTGTCACACCCGCTTCATTTGCACACACTGCCTAAGGACATCCCACCATTGCAGGGGCCTATACAGCCTTATGGACCTTCATGAAAACCTACGGTAAAACGCTGCAGACCTTATCCCACGAGGCCATACACCGGAAACTTACCCTTCTTACATAATCCGACGCGTGAAAAGTAAATGCGCCGATCGGTTCAGTGAGAAGCACATTCTTTGGCACAACCTGATGTCCGACCAGGTCGTGTGTGGCACATTTCGACGGTTTGCCGAAGCTCTGTCAACCACTGTGTCCAGTCCCAGCATTGGATGACTGGCAGGATCGGACAGTCAACTGGTATACGAGCAAAGAAAGTGAGAATGAAGCCGGCTTTGAGGAACTTGTCGATTTACGATGGGCTGAAAGGTTCACGAATCAAAACACAGGGGAGACGGAGTTGTTTGGACAAACTTTGCCGAGATGAAAGAGCGTGGACACAGCTCATCAGGCGGAGGTAGCAAGTCGTTTGACCGGGCAAGAGACAGACGTTGAGCCTGTTGGGCCTTCGCGAAACGCGCGAGTGCGCCTGGGCTTGGCCTGCCTACAAACAATCAACTAAGTATGCAGTATAGATTGACCTCGAGCCCCCGTCTTGCTGGCCCTAAGTTGTGCGCGGCTCAAGCACTCGCTTGACAGGGGAATGATATGTGGACTGATGGAATTGGTAAACGGTCACAATGGCAACTGAGAGAGCAGACCGCCACGAACTCATCCCCACGGCACATCAACGCATTCCCATGATAACAGATCTAACGCCCCGAGATCCGCATCGCTTACAGGACGGACGGCCACCTGCTCAACCAACGGCGGATGCACTTTAAGTCGGTTGTATCCACAACCATCGCCCACGAAATCTTTTCGCCGATGACTGCGCCCCCAACACCACCTCGGAAGGGGACATGCAAAGGAGCATGGATCACTTCGCCGCCGCCTGAGACAACTTCGGTCTGATCATTAATACTGTCCACGCGCATTCACCTCACACACTGATCTGATCTGTCACGTGCGAAGTCATCGCACGAAGACTCGCGAACCAGCGCCTGGAGCACCAACCTACACTCACCGCATCCGCCTCCGCTGCCTTCGCACATTCAGCCACCGCGTGAGCCTAATCGGCCACACGCGCGTCCACGAAAACCTGCGGTAGACAATCGCCAGCTACATCACACCACCACACGTTCCCCCACCAGCACTTGCACCCCACAACACCACCACCCATCACAAGTACCCAATTTCCACCTTCCAGGCAATTGGGAAGTGTGCTTCTCGACTCTTTCTCCATGCGGCTTCTCTGCTGCGTATGTGATCCGAGTCTGAGACTATCACGGTGCACCGAGCGCCGTGTCTTGAAATGCTGCTGACTGACGTCCCAACTCAGTCTATGCAGTCTGCCCAGTTGTGTGCGTTTGTGTGGAGTGGCTGACTGATGGGCTGAGAGCCAGGCTGTCGCGGCCCCTTCTTAAGTAATCCGAGTGTGCAGGTGCATTATGGGTAGTGCCTCTTAGTTGGCGACTGTTTGGTTATCCAGCCTTGAAGGATGACGGCCCAAGCTTAATATAGGACCACGTGTCACCCTTCGAGGTCAAAAGGTCTGAAAGCGTGCGCAATGTCAGTATCAGCAAACCATGACACTCGCAGCCTGGAATGTGCTGGCATTTCCCTGTCACCGGTAGATGCGCTTGCGCTCCCGATGGGTATGCAGGTGGTGAGCATGGCTGCCCAGTCACCATCATCCTTCTGACCTCTGTTGGGGTGTTGTTATTGTTGTTGCTGCTGTTTTTGGTCAAAACGTGGTCATTTGCTGTGTGGACCAGGGGGTGTGGTGTGCAATGCCAAGGTACGGGCTCGATCGTGTCATACACCTGCGCCCCTCGCCTCCGGTCTTCTTGACTCTGTCTTGACACCGGCTCTACTTGGGGAGCGTGTAAGATGGAGTGCGGTAGATGCTGCACAAGTTTACTATCACTATAAACTAATTCACGCGAAAGTCATCATGTCCGCTTCACTTTTTATTGGAGCAAAGGTGGACCTCGTCGGCAACGACGGCCGAACTGTCGATGTGTATGTTTGTGGGATGACTGGCTCGAGAAATGGGAGCCAAGCTCAATGGCTCTTTCCTAATGTGACCTATGACACTCACGAACGTGAGATTCGAGTCGCTTCCTACTCTGTGAAAATCTGTTATATTTTGCGGGAGGTCCAGGTCGGATGTGACACGTACAGACGGGCCCCTTATCTTTGTCAGCCGCTGTGCTCGAGCCTACCTCCGGTCACCTTGACATT